TCGGTTGTAGATCTGTTCATTTCCTTCAAATAGAAGCAATATAATCTTCTCTTTCAATTATAACCTGTAAGATCTTGTTAAGTACGCGTATCCCGGTTACTATAATCAAGGGACTGACTTTAATATCAAAATTCTCACTTCCTCCATTTTTTTTCTTTTGATTCTTTTAGTGTTTTCTTTTGTGCATTTGAGCATCCATATATAGTATAATCTTATGCACATCTTGAGATCCAAGTGGAATGTTTATGGAACTGGATGAGTCGTGAAATAATTGGTGCATAATTAATTAAGAGAATTTGATTAGTTTGTGAGAGAAGATACATGAATGCTATAATCATGGGTTCATTTCTCACTACTATTCGTATTAAATGCATTATTAGTAGGTTCAGAAGGACAAATGACATTAATTACTTTGTTAGTAGGATCTAATTGTTATATTGCAATAGTTTTTTATGGAAAAATATTAAGACACATCCAAACTAAACTAAAACCTAAGAAGCACAACAAAAAATATGGATAAATGTTGCTCCTTATCAGAATGCAGAACATTGTGCAAAACTATAGTAGATCTTCAATCCATACTACAAAATCATCAATTTTCTTAGCTCTTCGGACCAACACGCGAGTCGTTACATTCCTCGTTTGACGAACGACCTGAGAATCCCATTCATCGAGTCATGTGCAATATCGTTGAATATCATCCACAAAGTGTCTGAAAATCGAGTGCTGCTCCGCTCCATTTTGGACATCTCTAATTACCACATCCACATCTTTGAAAATTACTTTCCATATCTAGTGTCAAGAGCAAATGTATAGGTTCGCACACCGCTTGGAATTCTGCATGCTCAGAATTACCTCGTATCCAAATATTATAACAAGTATATTGCAATAGTTAGTAATATATATTATGATAGTTTTATATGCTATTTCTGGAGTACGTACACTAAGAGGTTATATTATATGCTATTTCTAGAATACATACACTAAGAGGTTAACATTTATATTAGTATTCCTCTCCATGAATTTTTTATATTTCAGACACACATTAATATATTATAATATTAAACTAGATATTAGATTTTTGATTAAATATTAAATTATCTTAAATTACAATATAATTTATAAATATAAGTTATGATATTATTATCTTAAATATTAAAATTGTATATTTATTGTAATACCTAATACCTAAAGTGAAATATTTATCTTATTTAACGTAAGACTAACATGGTTAAAATTTATGATATATATTAGTTCTTACGTTTATTACAAGAATAATTATAGTGTAATAAATAGAATGGATTGAATAAAATTTGAGGAATATCATTAAAGTTTATAATATATATTTAGTTTTTAATACTAGTTCTTATGTTTATTGCATGAATAATTATAGTGTAATAAATAGACTAAATTGAATAAATTTCAAGGCATTATTGGAAATTATCAAAGTTTGGAAGGGTACAAGAGGCAATCAAAAGTTTTAACACCCAAATCCTCTTTTATAAATAGTATAGATATAGATGTAGATTACTAACACTGTTATCTGCTATAGAAGCTACAGGAGTATATTGAAAATACATATAGGATTTCTCTTTTTTCTGTTGCCTTTTTTTTTGGGCGGGTTGGGGATGGTGGGGATTAACTGCCAATATACCAATTACAGATGAAGTATGTTTGACACGATTGACATTATCCAACTAGTTTACAAGGCTGCTAATTTTGTATTCTTTGTCTTGAAAGTCTACAATTTATCTTTGCTGTAGAGGTTAGCGCATTAATTTATATTTTGTCATTGTCAGTGGTTCTTCAAATTTGACACTTTCTACTCAAAGTATTAAGAGGAGGGATGGTTTCCTTTTCATGCCATTCCTAATTTGTTAACCTAGTGTTGCTTGTTGGTGGTCACAAATTCTTAAAGTTGATTCTGATGCTTCTATTTATTCAGTACTGGGAGAAGGCAGAGTTCCCTTTTCAAGCCATTCCTAAGCTTTCTAGCCTCCAAGTTTCTGGTGGTACCATAAAGGTACATCCATTTCGTGATCTTTGTGGCTTCAGGCTTCAAGATTGAAGATGCGGACATAATGAACTAACAGTTGTTACTAGCAGGGTTATGGGTGTCCAGGCCTCTCTGTTACTGGAAGTGCTATTGCTATTGCTGAAATAGCCAGGGTTGATGCAAGTTGCTCTACTTTTATTTTGGTGCACTCTTCTGCGGCAATGCTTACAATTGGTATAGTTTCCTGTTGAATTGCTCAAAACTCTATGTCAGTGTGCTAATTAATGGTAGTTGTTTGATAATCTACTTTTACATCTTACTTATGTGACTGCATTGCCTTTTTTTTTTGGGTTCAAAATAGCATTATGTGGATCTGAGGAACAAAAACGAAAATACTTGCCGTCATTAGCTCAACTAAGTACAGTTTCTTGCTGGGTAGGTTGTTTGTCTATGTAACAAAACGAAATCTATAAAACCATAACCATATACCGGGTTTTGTTGATCAGTTTTATATTCCTTAGGCTTTAACTGAACCGGATTATGGAAGTGATGCCAGTTCTTTGAGGACCACTGCAACAAAGGTTCTATTCTTTCGTCTTAATTACCTATGCAGATAGCTTACATAACACACTCTTCTTAACAATTATTTGCAGTTTGCCTTTTTTATATATTTCTTACCTGTTAAAGGATTGAAGTTATTCATTATGTTAATTCTGCTGGTTTAACAGGTAGCTGGAGGTTGGTTGTTAGATGGCCAAAAACGTTGGATAGGAAACAGCACTTTTGCTGATGTACTGATAATTTTTGCTCGCAACACAAACACAAACGAGATAAATGGGTAAATGAAAATGAAAACATAGTCTCTATACTTGCAATGTGTTTGCTTAGTTTTGCGACTTCATGTCAATAATCTTCTTGAAAACATTTAAAGTAAATGAGCTTCTGTATTGATTATAGTGTGCGAATATATTTGTCTGGCGTAATCCTTTTAACTTAATATCGGGTGTAGTCATATTCGAAAATACTTGTGATCAAATATTGCATAACATGTGATGCTCATTCTTTCAAATTGATGGCATTATTTTTAAATTTCTTTTCTATATCTTTCAGATTCATTGTAAAGAAGGGTACCCCTGGTTTGAAGGTAACAAAGATTGAGAACAAAATTGGATTGAGGATTGTTCAGAATGGGGATATTCTCATGAACAAAGTGTTTGTCCCAGAGGAAGACAGGCTTCCTGGTGTCAATTCGTTCCAAGATACGAACAAGGTATTGTGGCACCATTATGCCATTACTTTTATGAATGACATTGCTAATTTCCTACTTTTGTTATACAAAGGAATTGATGCTAATTTCCTACTTTTGTTATACAAAGGAATTGATGTAAAGAAACATTAATAAAATTTTAAAAGGCAATTGTAAACTGTTGTTTTTTTGGGGAAAATGTTTGTTTTTCCTAGAAACCACCTTTAAAATGAGTTTATCCTATAGAAACTACCTTTGATTGTCAATTCAAATAAGTTTTTTGTTGCAATCAACCACTTTTAGGTTGTTAAACAATAAAATATTGTAGATTCTCATTCATATTTTAAAAGCTACAACTTCTCCTTTTATATAGGGATACAATAACAAGAAGTTTACTGTGTAGTCAATGTGGTACTAAACACAATTACCTAATCATAATTTTTCTCTTAGTTACATTCCTAGTATCTCTCAATCACCAAATCTCTAATTTATACTCCTAATATATTATCCTAATAAAATTATAACATTATAGATTTTCATAATATATTCGTTAACACTCTCCCTCAAGCTGGATCATGTGTATCATACATGTCCGGCTTGTTACAATCAAGATGTGCTCACTCTAATTTGTGACATGAGTTAAAAGGCTAAAATCTTCTTTTGTGGCCTTTCTCATTATATCTGTCTTCATCTTCTTCTAGTATTCTATTTGAATGTCTTCCACCACGGACAACCATGACCAAAGTCAACAAATGTGATACCTCGATCTTCTTCACAGATCGACCAAACGAAACGATCCTCTTCGGGGAACTACCAAACAAACGATTCTCACCAGGGACACTCTAAGCAAACAATCCTCTCTAGGCATCCACCAAACATATAATCCTCCTCAAGGATTCAGCAAACAAATGAAAAAACAAATGATCGTCCTAGGGATCTAACAAAAGATATTCTTTAGGTATCTGCCAAACAAATGATTCTCCCAAGGATCTAACAAATAAATGATCTTTCTCACGGATCCACCAAATAAACAACCCTCTTCACGGATCAACCAAACAAACTATCTTCCTCAGGGATCAATCAAACAAATGATCATCTTCACGAATCAACCAAATAAATAATTCTCTTCATGGATCAACCAAACAAACCCTTTATTGGTGTTCAAAATTTCTAAAATACAAGCGGTGGTGATGGCGTTGTCTACAAGTTGAGTACGCGGTGAACAAAGAGAAATCGGGGTGGCACAAGCGGTGATGAGAACGTAAACATCGAGGATGACTACTGGATGACTACTGCTATCAATAATGCCAATTCTGATTATCAACAAGGCCATTGAAAGTAGGACAGATAAGAATTTGCAACACTGTTCTGGATAAATAGTTACCACGACACTGTTCACGGTGAACAGTGACCGCGATACTGTTCACAGGTGAACAGTCACTGCGCCCTTTTCATGGTGACCAGCACAAGAAAAAAAGGAAGGTTGTAAGGTAGCGGGAGGAGTTTGATGATGACTTGGTGAGGGATTGGGGGGCTAGGGTTTGTGAGGGTCTAGGGTTTTGTGGAGGCTAGGGCTTGCGTGGCTCTAATACTGTTGATAAATTAGGGTTAGTTTCTCTCATTGAGAGACCCCTCTTTTATATTAATGCATTCTTACAACTAGGTCCTTACAACATTGACTAATTCACTTAGTATCTAAATAACTCAACACTCCCCCTCAAGATGGTCCTTACAACATTGACTAATTCACTTAGTATCTAAATAACTCAACACTCCCCCTCAAGATGGGCGATAGTTATCAATCATCCCCATCTTGTTATAAAAGATATCATACTCTCTAGAACCTAATCCCTTTGTTAAACAATCAGCTAACTGCTCTTCTGATAGCTCAAAGTCAGAACTCCTCTATTCAGTTGCTCCTTGATAAAGAACCGATCAATCTCCACATGTTTGGTGCGATCATGCTGAACTGGATTGTTTACAATATTAATCGCCGATTTGTTGTCACACCAAAGTTGTAAGGAGTCTCTTCTAAACAAGCGCAGCTCAGATAATATGTTTTTTACCCACATCAACTCGCACAGACTAATTGCCATAGCTCTGTACTCGACCTCAGCTGTAGACCTAGCCACCACATCTTGCTTCTTGCTACGCCAAGATACGAGATTACCTCCAACAAATACACAATAGCCTGTAGTGGATCTACGATCATCCATACAACTTGCCCAATCAGCATCACAATAGCCTTCAATTCTCAGATGTCCAAAACTCCTGAACCATAACCCATTTCCTGGGCTTCCTTTAATATATCTAAGAATTCTGCGAACTGCCTCCATATGCTGCTCTCTGGGATCATGCATATATCTACTCATCACACTCACTGCATGAGTAATATCAGGTCTCGTATGGCATAGATATATAAGTCGTCCAACCAATCTTTGATATTGCTCTTTACTCACAGGGTCCCCACCCTCGACACTCATCTTATGATTCTGCTCAATAGGAGTAGATGCAACTCTGCACCCTAACATCGCTGTCTCTGAGAGAAGATCCAGAGCATACTTCCGCTGAGAAAGCACTATACCCTTTCGCGACCTTGTAATTTTAATTCCGAGAAAGTACTTTAACTGCCCCCGATCTTTAACTTCAAATTCCTCCCCTAATTTCTTCTTCAACAGTAGGATTTCCTCAGCGTCATCTCCAGTGATTACAATATCATCAACATAGACCGCCAGGATAGTGATACAAATTTTGGAGTGCCTGTAAAACACAGTATGATCACCATTGTATTGCTTGTACCCCATACCACAAACTGCCAACCTGAATCTATCAAACCATGCCCTCGGAGACTGTTTTAACCCATACAAAGACTTCTTCAACTTGCACACCTTCCCAGCTACTTGAGAAGTAGTGAAGCCTGGTGGAATCTCCATATATACCTCCTCTTGAAGATCTCCATGCAAAAAGACATTCTTGACATCTAGCTGATGTAGTAGCCAATTAAAGTTGGCAGCACATGACACCAATACTCTAACAATACTCATCTTTGCTACTGGAGCAAATGTCTCGTCATAGTCAATGCCGTATGTTTGGCTGTAGCCTGTAGCAACCAATCTGGCCTTGTATCTGTCGATCTTGCCCTCTGGAGTTTGCTTAACCGTATACACCCACTTACATCCAATAACACGCTTCCCAGCTGGCAAAGGTACCAACTCCCATGTGTCATTCTTCTTCAAGGCCTGGAGTTCCTCCTGGCAAAGGTACCAACTCCCATGTGTCATTCTTCTTCAAGGCCTGGAGTTCCTCGTGCATGACATTCAATCACCTAGGATCTTGCTTAGCTACCTGCCAGTTGTTAGGTACAGGCACTGAATGCAACGATGCAATGAATGACTTATATGCATGTGGAATGGATGCATATGAAATGTAATTCGCAATATCAGTATCCCAATTACCAAACTTAGCTGGAAGTTTTCCAGCATTGACTCTAGAGATTCTGCGGGGCAAGACAGGAGTATCAGAGGTATCAGGGAAGGACTCGTTACCTATCGACTCAGGTGGAGGAGAAGAGCAAGGCACTGGAGAGGAAGAGGAATGCACTGGAGAGGAGGGACTTGGGTCATCAACATTTGTGGGTACTGACACAGACACGGGAGGTGGCTCATGCTGTTGTTTCTGTCTCCTCGTGTATACTCTCAGCTCCCACTGACTTTGACTACCAACTCCTAAGTCACCACCACTACTCGGCGATATACCATCACTACTCGGTGACTCAAGAGGACATGGAATCATCCCGACCACAATATCATCTCATTCTCATTCTCCCCCTCTTTACTAGCATCAGTAGAGCCATCTCCAAACAAGGAACTCAACTCCGTCTTCTCCCCATAAAAAGGTTCAAACTCCCAAAAAGTCACATCCATACTGACAAACAGTCTTCTTTTAGTGGGACACCAACACTTGTATCCTTTTTGACTTGATGAGTAGCCAACAAAGATACATTTAACTGCTTGCGGATCCAGTTTACTCACCATCAACCTGTGATCTCTCACATAACATGTGCATCCAAACACTCTTGGTGGAACAACAAAAACATTCGAGCCCAAAAGCAGCTCACATGGTGTCTTCATCCCTAATACTCTTGATGGCATCCTGTTGATCAAACAAGCTGCTGTCATAACAGCCTCACTCCATAAAAACTTAGGCACATTCATTGTCAACATCAATGAGCGTGCCACTTTCAGTAGATGCCTGTTCTTACGCTCAGCCACCCCATTCTGAGCAGGGGTGTCTGGGCAGGTGGTTTGATGAACAATTCCCTGATTAGAGATGAAAGCTGCAAACTCCTTATTGACATACTCAGTCTCATTATCTGTTCGAAGAATCTTCACCTGCACTCCAAACTGTGTCTTCACATAAGCCGAGAAATCTTGAAAATATTTGTAAACCTCTGATTTCTGCTTCATCATGTATATCCAGGTCATACGTGAATAACAATCAATGAAAGTAACAAACCATCTAAAACCACTGATAGAGGTAGTAGGACATGGTCCCCAAACATCAGAATGGACAAGTGCAAATCGTTCACAACTTCGAAGACCAATCATTCTATAAGTAGAACGAGTATGTTTTCCAAGTTCACATGCATTACAAAATAACTCTTTTCTATTCACTTTTTTCATTAACTCCGGTTCTAATCTATTTAAACTCTCAAAAGATAAATGCCCTAACCGGCAATGTTGAAGCATCGCTTCTGCCTCTGGCCCTCCGCTAACAGCAGCAGCAATCATTGCTGTCTCCCTATCCAAATACCAAAGACCATCACGTCTGATACCACTCCCAATCCTCCTCCCCGTTTTCTTCTCTTGAAAGACACACAAATCTCGATCAAATAACACGGTGCAATTTAATTGATCAATGAGAGAGCTAACTGAGAGTAAGTTAACTGGAAACGAAGGAACATGTAATACTGATGACAAGGTAACAGATGAAGTACAATTGACCGAGCCAGTACCCCTGATGGGTTGGGATGTCCCATCAGCAGTCTGAACTGTCTCAGGATGCATATGCTTACTCGGATAATATAATGCAAACTCACTAGATGTTCCTGTGACATGCCTAGATGCACCTGAGTCTATGATCCAATCAACATGAGTTTTAGTGGATGCAAGTGCCTGAACCTGTGTACCTTTGTTCACATGAGCATAACCAATAAAGTTACCAAAGCATGTAGTGGTGGCCAGATCCTGGGTGACTTGTCCCTTGCCCTTCGAACTCTCAGCCTGAAGCTTGAACAGACGTAGTTCCTCCAGCTCTGTTATTTCAGCTCCAGTCATCCCAGCAGTAGTCTGAGACTCATCTGCCACAGCTAGGTGAGCAACTCCTTGGCCTACACGCCCCCTGCCTCCTCGACCTGCACGGCCACCAGTCTGACCACGTTCACTCCAGTTCCTTTCTCTGGGTGGCTTAGGGCACATCTGTCTCAGATGCCCTATCTCTCCGTAGTTGAAGCACTGTCTAGTCTCCCCTTTGAATCCAGTGTTATCCGGGTTGGATACCACCAGTGCAGACTTCTCCCCTGTAAGTCCATCTATCCCAGACTGTAGCCTGATACGGTTCTCCTCCTGTATCATGGCCGAGACTGCCTTCTTCAGTGGTGGGATCTTCGTCTGGGCTAGTAACAATGCCGTCCTCTGCTCATACGCTGGAGCCAAACCTCGGAGAAACAACATGGTCCTCTTCTGCAAAAAGGCCTCGCGCTCCTTGCACTCCGGGTCCTTGCAGTTCGCTAAGGGCGAGAAGTGATCGTGATCGAGCCACAAGCGCTCCAGCTCTGTGACGTACTCCTGTACAGTCCTCTCTCCCTGGACTATAGCGCTGATCTCCTTCTCGATCTGGAATACCCTCAGGTTATTCAATTTCTGGATGATCTCCTCCATCGGATTTTTTTCAGTCTTCGTCATCGATCCAACTTGTATTCTTGTGGTGCGCAACCAAAAAAATCCGACAGCACAACAAGAGAGATAGATCAATAAGAATTCATGTTTCACTAAGGAAACAAGAACCAAAAGCAAGATGTCTCAACGAGGTGAGATATCAGCTCTTCTCTCATCAGTTCGAGGACTGACCTGTCGAGGGAACCTAAACAAGCTATTACAATTCGAGAAAGAAAAAAAGATCATCTAGTAAAGACTAGAGATCCCCTTTATTTATTTATTTTGGATCTAATCAGCACTCCCAAATAAAAAAAATTACAGACCCTTACAGACCTTTTAGTTCCCCTTTTTTTTACAGACCCCTTTAGTTCCCTTTTTTTCTCCCCAAAAACAGCTGGTCCTTCTCTCTCCCCCAACAAATCCCTAAATCACAGCAACGAGTCCTTCTTCGTTCGCGTTTTCTTCATCGATATTCGTCATCGCCTCAAGCTCGAAAACCCGCCTCCATCTCGAAAACCTGCCGCCGAGCTCGAAAACCCGCCTCGAGCTCTAAAACCCACCGCCTCCAGCGGGAAAACCCACCGCGGCCGAGATCCGCCTCCCGCGTCCGAGATACGTTCTCCGTGCCCTGCCTCGCCTCCGCCTACACGTCCCACCCCGCCTACGACGATGTCCAAAGTCCAGTAGAGGACCCGATTGCGGGGAAGGGAGGCGAGTGGTGACCTTTCAAAGTTCTTCAGTCGGCGTCGATGAGAGACTTGGGCGGCGGAGAGCGGCGGCGGCGGAGAGCAGCGGATTTGGCTCAGATGGGGAAGGCGGCTAGCTCTGATACCATGTTGATAAATTAGGGTTAGTTTCTCTCATTGAGAGACCCCTCTTTTATATTAATGCATTCTTACAACTAGGTCCTTACAACATTGACTAATTCACTTAGTATCTAAATAACTCAACAAATACCATGTTAAAAGATAAAAAATTATAGATTCTTATTCATATTTTAAAAGCTACAACTACTCTATTTATATATGGATACAATAACAAAAAAATTTATTGTGTAGTCAATGTGGGACTAAACACAATTACGTAATCATAATTATTCTATTACTTACATTTATAATATCTTTCAATTATGAAATCTCTAATTTATACTCCTAATATATTAATTCTGATATAAGTATATAACTATAACGTTATGGATCTCTATAATGTATCCTTAACATAGGTCAAGTCTTTTTTCAGTTTGGCTGTGATTAAGTTGTTAAACACCAAATATATTAGAGAGATGAATGTAGAAAACACCCGTTTTGAAACGTGTTTAACCCGTTTCAGCACCCAACAGAGCCAAAATATTATAAAACTCAGGCAGAAAACCCATGTTGCATATAATGCAGAAAATAACACCAAAAAGCACATTTCATTTGTGTTATGTTAAGTGTTATTTAACACTTTTTAAATTGAGTTAAATTGATGATCAGATTTGGATTTGTGGTGATATCTCCCTCATCCAAATTAGTATCATGCTAACTAAAATAAGTTCCTAATTAATCTCCCGACCCTAATTTCATTCACGTGAAAAACCCTAGCGATCTTTTGACCCTATCTCCAATGCCTCCCTCATATCCTCCCTTTCCACCTCCTCTCACTCCTTCGACGAAGAAACATCTCGATCTCTTCTTCCTTTGACGCCTTCGACGAGACAAAGCCTCTCGCCGACAACAAGACTATTCTTGTCCTTTATGTCCACCGACGATAAGGCTCCTCTCTGGTCTCTCCTTGGCTCCTATATCTCCTTTCGCCACTGAAGAAAATCGTAACCCTATCTCCACCTTCAATGCCTCTCCAGTCCCTAAATCTTACCTCTTTTCGATGGAAATGAGGCCTTCTAAATCTTTACTAATGTAACTCTTCCTGTTCTCATTCATGTTTGAAAATTTTGATGATATCAATTACTAAAGTCATTATGAATAGTTTGTATTTATGAAATGTCTAAATAAGTAATAAATAAAATAACCTACGTTATGTGTTATGTTTTTTTTTGCATTTCTTCACTTAACCCTTGACAGAATGTAGAGCATTACTTAATGCATTATCGTTATTTTCAACATTGAGAGAGAGAGATGATCCTTACTTGAGGTTAGATGAGTGTAGAAACGACGAAAACATTGGAGAAGAACATGATTTTTAGAGCATGCAGAGCTTTGGGTGCTTGTCGGTCGACCGAGAGCTTTGGGGTGGTCGACTGGAAATGTGCACAGCATCAGGAAGTTTTCTAGACTTGGTGACGGTCGACCGCCAAACCTTGTAATCGATATTGGGTTTCTGTCTTTCTGGTCGGTTGGTCACGGTGATTTCTGCGGTCGATCGCCGGTCGGGTCAGGCCCAGATTTGGTTTTCCTGTTCTGTTTGGGATTAATGTTTGGTATAAAAACAAACACGTTTTAGGGTTTCTGTGGAGCAGTTGAAAGGGTTGTTTTGAGCACAGAAAAGAGAGTTTTTTTTTCTAGGCTATTGGTTTAGGGTTTTGTTTGAGAGATTAGCGAGATTTGTTTGAGAGATTTGAGTGATTTTGTAATCTCTATTTGTACTCTACCTTCTCTATTAGTAAAAACTCATTCCCTTCTTGCCCCGTGGACGTAGGCAACTTGCCGAACCACGTAAAATTCGTTGTTTGTGTCCGTGCCGTTATTTTTTATTGTGTTTGGCATTCTCTCAGCGTTTGTGTTTGGCCTCGGAACCCCAACAATGGGTTCAATTACCCAAAAAAAACTTAACTAAAAAGTCGGCCTAAGTGGTTAATTTCAACAAAAAACTCTTTAAATGTGGTTTATGTATAAATTAAAATTCAAAGGTCGTTTCTATAGAATAACACTATTTTAAAGGTGGTTTCGGGGGGGGGGGATTCAAATGGTGGTGATAATGATATCCCTATCTTGTCATTTTCTCCCTTGCTTTTGTTAGGTCTAGCAAATGGAACAGATAAGTGACTTTTGTAATTCACACTAGCTTTAGCAAATTCTGATACCTTACAAATACCTAATCTGCATCATTTTTAATGACCCTAATGATCACACGGTATAGAAGAGAAATAAGCGTCAGGAGGATACGAGAAAATGGGTGTATCATTAAAGAATAGCTATAACAACTACAGATTCTTCATTCTGACCTCTGTTGTCATCGAATCGTTTAGGATTACCTGATGGAAGAAGAATGACAGATAAATAAAGCTAAACATCTTAACATGGAAAATTAAACATCGGGCACTGCTAAGCCTCTCTTTATCTTTGCTTCATGTCAGAAACTGAACCTGTATCCCTTACTGAGAACTTTCAGTGCATGTGTTTGGATAGTAATTCACTGCTCATATATCTGGAGCCACTTCCAATGCATCTTGCATTGGATTCTGTGATATCCGTATGCTACTGCCCAGCATTTAACCACCAATAGTCATATTGCTGACTTCTTTTAGATGACTTTATTGTCAGTATCCTTTTTCACTTTTTCTTTCCATTCAATCAAATAATGATTGTGACTCTGCTTAATTTCGCAATCTTTGACATGTTATTTACTTGAAATGTGTGTCCTTCTTGTGTTTGGTCAGCACAGTTGCTAATTCCATATAACTCCTTTTATATTTTAATATGTGTAAATATTATATCGTCACAAATATCTGACTGATGGTTACTTAAAGCAGGTGCTTGCTGTCTCACGTATCATGGTTTCATGGCAACCCATTGGCATTGTAATGGGGGTATTTGACATCTGCCACCGGTATAACGTGATTTTTTTTCCTTTTCTTTCAGCATCATTTTTTGTTTAAAGGTTCTTCCTGCATATAAACATGAACATCTTACATGTTCAAATTGGTTAGGTATTTGAAAGAGAGAAAGCAATTTGGAGCTCCTTTAGCTTCTTTCCAGATTAACCAAGAGAAACTTGTTCGTATGCTTGGCAATATTCAAGCAATGCTTCTTGTTGGTTGGCGCCTGTGCAAGTTGTATGAATCCGGGAAAATGACTACTGGCCATGCTAGCTTGGCAAAGGTAAGTAGATAATCTTTTATTACAGAAGTGCTGCAGATATCGTTATCTAAAACATAGATGGGTCTTAAAACTTTTTAGGCATGGATATCCTCACGCGCAAGGGAAACAGTTGCTTTAGGACGAGAATTAATGGGTGGAAATGGAATCTTGTCAGACTTCTTAGTGGCAAAGGTTTGAGTTATTGTTTTCTGTCTTCTCTTGTAACTATTCAGCGACTCATGTTCTAATTTTTCTTTTCTTTTCTTTTCTCTTTCAAAATAAAGAGCATAGCAGGATTTGAAACTGGATTTCAATTCAAACTTTCAAACTCCATATATTTATTGTTAAGGCTTAGTGATCCTGTTTTCCTATTACATTTATGAGTTTAATTTATCTCCATAGTAAATGCATATAATTCTTTCATCTCCATAGTAAATGCATATAATTTTTCATCTGAAGAGATTACACATCCAGTGTTAATTATAGAAACCCCTTGAACTTTGGGGGAATGACACTAAACCCCCCTCAACTATTCTTTTTATTCCACTAAACCCCCTTGAACTTTAGGAGTTGTTGTACATAACACCCCTAAACTTTTTCATTCCACTAAATTTCACATGAAAATTTCTTATTTAATCTCTAAACTAACACCATTGATTCTAACATCTCATGTGACAAACATGTTCCAAGAAAAAGATGAAAAGAATCCCTTAGTCCCAAAAAAGTTACTTATTTTTTCTTTTTATTAAAAGGATATGTTTTGGAGCTAAGAAGGAATTTTCATATTGTTTTTGGCATATGCTGACCCAGTGACACATTAGAGGTGATGGTGCTAAATTGCTAATATTAGGATAAAATGAGAAATTATCTTGTAAAATTTTGGAGAATAAAAAAGTTCAAGGGGGTTATGTGCAGTAACGCCTAAAGTTTAGGGGCGTTTAGTGGAATAAAAAAGTTGAGGGGATTTAGTGAAACTCCCCCAAAGTTCACGAGGGATATGTGTAATTATCCCTCTTTTAATTTTATTAGCACAACAAATTAAGGTCCATATGCCTTCTAGGTTTTAATTGTTGGTTTGCAGGCTTTAATTGACACTAAGCTGCAAAATATGGTAAAAAACTCCTAAAAAGTCTAGTGTAGGTGTTACACTTGAAGATTTAGTCCCACCTCCGTGAGTGAGTGAGAGTTTGAAGGGTTTATATAAAGAAGTCTAAGGCTCAAGTGTATAATCGGTTAGTCGACTCATTGTGTCCCATAGCTTACATCGTGCTAACGAGTTAACAGGCTCAGAGCGGAATAGATGGTACCAGAGTAGTTAGCAAACCGGAAATGTGGATCTAAATGCTATTCAGGACTAAGTGCTATACCATGTGAGCGCAGTGGTAATCGCCTGGTGGTGATACTAGGACGGGCCAATTTGTCATGCTGTGACGAGGATGTCACGTGTTTAAGGTGGAGTGACTGTAACACCCCAAAATTTAGTCCTACATCGGTCGATGAGTGAGAATTTGAAGGGTTTATATAGTAAAGTTTAAGGCTTAAGTGTAGCATCAGCTAGTCGATTTTAGCAATAGTTTGAGCCAAACAATGCACTACACTCAGTGGGTCCTAAGTCTCATGGCTTACACTGCGCCAACGGGCTCACGGACCCGACGCGTGGCAGTAGGATTATAAACCAGTATAATACTTCGAAATGTTTATGTTATTTTGAATTTTGGTTATTATATTTCCAGTGTATGATCATAGTTGCATGGAACTGAATTTGTTTGGGTTCATGAGATGGACATGGTAGCGTCGTATGCCGCTCGTTAGGAATCAGGTACAAGGGATAGGCTTATATCATACTCTAGGGAAAATGGTATGTATTAGCTTCGGTTCTTAAATGTAGGAATTGGAGGTTTTGCGTAGTCAAATTGAAGAATTATGTTGCAATTAAAGTATGCACACTTTATTTGCTTAATTTTTCACTTTTTTGTTGCTTATTCTATTGAAAAAGAATTATTGTTTGTCAAAATTTTAACAGGTTTGAATTTTAAATCGGGTCGCTAGAGCTGGTGAATCGGGTCGTGTTACACCGTGAATCTGGGACGATTGAACCGTAGTCACGGTTCGCTATAGCGTCCCACGTTCCCAACTTCTATGTGCGTGATATTTTCTACATACATGTAGATTGTGGAGGCACATCTCCTATCTTGGATGATGGACCGACTATTTTGATAAGAGAACATGGCCATCTGTGGGTTTACTGATATGTCATCATCATATCATCAACCGTTCCATTTATTTCCTGAGAACACTATAATGTTCAGAATTTTCTGTCTTACCTACTAAATTGGTGAAGCTGAATATACATTGAGTCTAGTTATTTTTCGATTATTTTATTCAGCACATAAGCTAAATCCCAAGAACCATTAGCAGACTTCTTCCAGACCTACAAACTAATCCTACATCCCTTCTGTCAACTCATATTAAATGAAATTTGTCTGACCTACAAATTCAAGTTTCAAATATCTAGACTTTTGTTCCACTGCCCGAGTGGTAAATCAGATTTTACATCTCTCTGCATAATGCACTAAACCTTTTTGACATAAAAGATCTCTGATTTTCTTTGTTAATACAATTCATGGATGAAGAGCTTAATTTCATATACTGAGGCTCAGTTAGCATCTAACCGTGAATTGTTTTCTCCAGAACAGCTTATTACAGTATATGTATTGTCGTTCTAGTTTGTAGAAAACTATCAAGGCATTAAGTGCCCTTTTGGGTGATTCTCTCAGTGGAAGGAAATGGGCATCACTTCAGCCATATATCCTTGGTTTTTCTTGATTTGGGTAGGTTGTGACAGAGAGACGAAATCTAGTAGGCTCCTACTCACTTCATCTCTTATTTTCTTTTCCTCGCTTCAACACTTTGATGTAGGCCCAAATGGAGGTCTTTTCTTTTCTTTTCCTCCTTCAACACTTAGATGTAGGCCCAAATGGAGGTCTTCATCTTCCGTTGTGCATACCACGCAATGGAAGGTGAAAGATGTCCTGTGCTGAATAGCAAGGATTAAAAATTAATTATGTGCTGTACCAGAAAGTTACAAATAATATGTTTTATTTTAGACTTTAGTGGTGATTTTGGTCACCCATATTCTCATCATTGCGGAAAAAGATAAATCACATAGTTGGGAATCAACCTGTAGTTTTCTTCTTACTCATTTCCGTATGACTGAATGACTGAGTACATAAAATGTATTCCTCTAACACAACTGCAATTGCAGGCTTTCTGCGATTTGGAACCGATATATACATACGAGGGAACCTACGAGATCAATAGCTTGGTAACTGCAAGGGAAATTACTGGGATCGCTAGCTTCAAACCTGCTGTGCTCAGTAAAGCAAGTCGACTTTAATCTCACCGGTGGCATGACAATTTTGCAGGGTCATACTTGGATTGATTTTTTGTAATCAATGGTATTGAAGTTTACAGTAGAAACACAGCGACAATTGGGATGAAGTCAGAAATAAATTGAAAATGGCAGATCATGTTTTGCTGCAAGTTGTTGTAACAATGACCATCTCCTTTGCTTATTATGCGTGTCCTGTAAAAGTAATTCACAAAGTACTATGTTACGTTTCATGGAAAAAATCACCCGTCTTGGTCTGGTTATTGTTGCTTGAAATTGCTTCATTTCCTATATTTAGGTAAGTTTCACAATGATTTGAATGCTTACACCGTACGGAAAACTAGAAGAAATCTCTTACTAACCAAAGTTCTTCATGACTTATTGTCTAAACAAATCATAGCATGATGTCATCAAGGCTTAATGGCACTCAAATACCCTGTAGCTTTCACTGGTTTACGCTTGTATACCCTCACTTGTTTTGCAAAACTTGTATACCCTAAGGTTTTTTAATTTCCCCTTGAAAATTCTCATGAGACACTCACATGCTAACTTTAGAACTTGTTAACCCTTAATTTTGTTAAATTTAGTATTAAAGTGTTATATATGATTCTATTTTGAACTTACCCTGATATTGTTTTAAAATAGGATTTTAATGGGTTCAATAAGATAAATTTAACAAATGTTAAAGGTAGATATCCTAAAATTAGCATGTAAGTGTCGCATGAGAACTTCAGAGGGAAATTCTCATGTTTGCATAAATGAGGGTATTGAAATGCTATTTTTTTTAAAAAAGTTGGGGTGTACAATTGCTGTAAAAAACAATTGAGGGTATTTCAGTGCAAAGTATGGGAATATACGGTATTTAAGTAAAACTAAGCCTTTCATCGAACTCCTTCTGATATACAATCAATAAATGAAGGGTCAACTGCACTTAAATCCTTACAGTTTCAATTACTTTGCACATATATACCCCCAGTTGTATTTGGCTGCACTTAAATACCCTGAAGTTTCTAAGAGTTGCACTCTGATACCCTTGGTTATGCAAATGTGATAATTTCTCCCGAAAATTCTCATGCGACACTCACATGCAATTTTTAGAACATCACAACGCTTATTGTTTGTTAAATCTACTATCAAACCTAGTAAACTCTTATTTTAAAATGCAACTAAGGTAGGTTTAAAACATGGTTTTGATAGATCTAACAAATAGGTTTAAAAAAAGGTTATAATGTTCTAAACTTAGCATGTGAGTGTCGCATGAGAACTTTCGGTTGGAAGTTCTCACTGTTAGTTTGGGAGTGGATACCAACCTCCGCCGGCGACGAAGCTCCGACGAGCTTGAGGATCCGCGCAGATGAGCGCGGGTGTCGACGACGAACTCCAGGCTCAGTTCGAGATGGAGCTCGAGCAGGCAAGCTCGAATATGGCGTTTCCGATCCTCGCGTTCGGGATACCGACCCCCGCGTTTCAGCGCTCCGACCCTCGCGTTTCAGCGCTCCGACGTCCGCGTCTTGGCGCCCCACCCTCGCGTCCAAGCGGGCCGCTCGCGTGGCTGGCGACAGCCCGTCGCCAGCCCATCGTGCCAGCCTATCAACGCTTCGCCTATAAAAACCCCCTTTTCGATGCCCTAGGTGTGGTGTTGTGCTTTTACCCTTTCTTCCGATTTCCTCTCTGGCGGCGGACAACCCCAAAATCCCAGCAGCGATTTTTGATTAATCTCCAGCTTTCAACAGTGTTTGGGGGGAGATTTAAGAAGAGAGAGAATTAAAGAGGGGTTTTATAGTGGGATATTCTTTATTCTCAAGTGAGACTTGAAAGGGGTTTATTCCCTTTAATTATTAACACTGTAGCTACAGTGTTCATTTGAGAAATCTCAGTTTTGGGATTTGCTCTTGATTTATAATTTCTTGTTTGATTAATAAGAAATTAACTGTGTGGCTCCCGAGGACGTAGGCAGTTGCCGAACCTCGTTAAAACTTGGTGTACTTTTTCTATTTTGCGTTTCTGTTGCATTAGGGGTTTCAGCGTTAAATTCCCAACAACTGGTATCAAAGCGTGAAACGATCTAAGAGAGTCAGATTCAAGTGGACCCATGGCCGCCAGAGTAAGGAAAAATGAGACTGAGAAATATATGAGAACAGATTCGGATTTTAGAAAATACAGATAGATGATTATCTGTATCAAAAAAATCTGTATCAAACACTATCGGGGAAGAAGCCAGAATTCTATGAAGCAGATGAGTGGAACCTTCTAGATAGACAAGCCTCGAGTTATCAGATGACGCTGACTCGCAATGTTGCGTTCACATAGCAAAGAGAAGACGCACGACAGTCTTATGCAGCTCTCTCAATATTATAGAAGCCATCAGCCGCGAACAAAGTTCATTTGATGCGGCGGTTATTCAATCTGAAAATGGCGGAAGGCGCGTCAGTAGCACAACACCTCAATGAACTTAATACGGTTACAACCCAATTGAGTTCAGTTGAGATTGAGTTTGATGAAGAAGTTCGGGCGTTGATATTGTTGTCTTCCCTACCAGAGAGTTGGAACGCTACAGTCACAGCTGTGAGTAGCTCGTCGGGAAAGAAAAAGTTGAAGTTCGGCGACGTTCGTGATTTGGTTCTCAGTGAGGAGATCCGACGGAGAGAGACGGGTGAAGCTACAACCTCTTCAGTATTACATACAGAGTCAAGAGGTAGAAATTCAACCAGAGGAAACGGACTAGGAAAATCAAACTTCAGAGGTAGATCAAATGACAGGAGGTCCAAGTCAAGGAATCCAAGCAACAGCTTGAAGGCTATCGAGTGTTGGAATTGTGGAAAGACCGGGCATTACAAGAATCAGTGCAAGAGTGCATAGAAAGAGAAGGAGGCGAAGGCAGAGGTGAATGTCACTTCCACTTCAGGAGGAGACGACGCATTGATATGCTCTTTGGAGAGCAAGGTGGAATCTTGGGTGTTAGATTTAGGAGCGTCGTTCCATGCTACCTCTAAGAAAGAATTCTTCGAGAAGTATGTTCCAAGAAATCTTGGATACGTATATCTTGGTGATGATCAACCATGTGCTATTGTGGGCAAAGGCGTGGTGAAAATTAAGTTGAACGGGTCAGTATGAGAGCTGAAGGATGTCAGGCATATTCCCGACCTGAGAAAGAATTTAATATCCGTAGGCCAGTTGGCTGGCGAAGGATATACCACGACCTTCCATGGAGATGATTGGAAGATCTCAAAGGGCGCAATGACGATTGCCCGAGGCAAGAAGACTGGTACCCTGTATATGACAGCAGGTGCACGTTGTTTGATCTCAGTTGCAGCAGGCAATGAGACTTCAAAGCTGTGGCACCAGAGACTCGGTCATATGAGTGAAAAGGGGATGAAAATCATGCACACAAAGGGAAAACTCCCAGGACTGCAGTCAGTGGAGATGGATATGTGTGAAGAATGTATACTTGGAAAGCAGAAGAGAGTCAGCTTTCATACAAGTGGCAGAACCCCCAGGAAGCAGAAGCTAGAGCTCGTTCACTCAGATGTTTGGGGACCAACGACCACCGCGTCCATTGGTGGAAAACACTACTTCGTGACTTTTATCGATGATCACTCTCGGAAAGTGTGGGTCTACTTTCTGAAGCATAAGTCAGAAGTATTTGAAGCTTTCAGGAGATGGAAAGCTATGGTCGAGAATGAGACCGGTCTGAGAATAAAGAAGCTCAGGACTGACAATGGCGGTGAGTATGAAGACACCGGATTCAAGAAGTTCTGTTATGAGCACGAGATCAAAATGGAAAGAACCGTGCCCAGCACGCCTCAGCAAAATGGTGTAGCTGAGCGAATGAACCGAACGTTGACAGAGAGAGCCAGAAGCATTCGGGTACAGTCAGGCCTACCGAAACAGTTCTGAGCAGAAGCGATCAACACAACAGCTTACTTGATCAACCGAGGTCCATCGGTTCCATTGGAGCACAGAATACCAGAGGAGGTATGGTGCGGAAAGGAGGTAAAACTCTCACATCTTAAAGTTTTCGGTTGTGTAGCTTACGTGCATATTAGTGATCAAGGCAGGAATAAGCTTGATCCCAAGTCAAAGAAATACACTTTCATCGGCTATGGTGAAGATGAGTTCGGCTACCGCATTTGTGACAACGAAAACAAGAAGGTAATCAGGAGCAGAGATGTGATATTTAACGAGAAGATGATGTACAAGGACATGCACAAGACAGATGACTCAGAGAGCGAGTCAATATTTGTAGATGCAGATGATGTCTCGAGTAACCTCTCGGAAGAACCCAATGCAGAGGGTCCTCAGCCAGAAGAGCCTATTGGACAATATGGTGCGCAAGAGCCCGACGCACCAGCTCCGATTTTGAGGAGATCTTCTCGTCCTCCTGTACCCAACAGGAGATACATGAACTATCTGTTGTTGACAGATGGTGGGGAACCTGAAAGCTTTGATGAAGCTTGTCAGTGTGGAGATGCGAGCAAGTGGGAGCTTGCAATGAAAGATGAGATGAAGTCTCTCATATCAAACCAGACGTGGGAACTAGCTGAGTTGCCCACGGGTAAGAAGGCACTTCACAACAAATGGATGTACCGGGTGAAAGAGGAGCAAGATGGTTCCAGAAGATATAAGGCCCGGTTAGTTGTCAAAGGTTTCCAGCAGAAGGAAGAAATTGACTATACTGATATTTTCGCTCCTGTGGTAAAGCTAAATACTATCAGGACCGTGATGAGTATTGTAACAATTGAAGATCTTCATCTCGAGCAGTTAGACGTGAAGGCTGTGTTTATTCACGGAGATCTAGAAGAGGAGATATACATGCACCAGCCAGAAGGTTTCTCAGAAGAAAAGAAGAAGAACCTGATGTGCAGACTCAAGAAGAGCTTGTATGGCCTGAAACAAGCCCCAAGACAGTGGTACAAGAAGTTTGACGGCTTCATGCACAAGGAAGGTTTCCAGAAGTGCAACGCCGACCACTGTTGCTACTTCAAAAGATATCAGTCCAGTTATATCATCCTACTGCTGTATGTTGATGATATGTTGGTTGCAGGAGCAGATATGAATGATATCAAGAGTTTGAAGCAGCAGCTGTCAAAGGAGTTTGACATGAAGGACTTGGGTCCAGCGAAGAAGATCTTTGGAATACAAATCACGAGAGACAAGAAGAAATGGTTCCTGCGGTTGTCTCAGACGGAGTACATCAACCGTGTTTTGCAGAGATTCAACATGGGCGACGCCAAGCCTGTGAGCACACCCTTGGCCAGCCATTTTCGTTTATCGAAGGATCAGTCTCCTCAGTCAGAAGAAGAGAAAGAGAGTATGGCTCAGGTTCCTTACGCCTCAGCTATCGGAAGCTTGATGTACGCAATGGTCTGTACGAGATCAGACATTGGCCATGCAGTGGGAGTGGTCAGCCGGTTTATGTCGAATCCAGGAAAAGCTCATTGGGAAGCGGTCAAGTGGATTCTGAGATATCTACGAGGCACCACACAGAAGTGTTTGCACTTTGGTAAGGGAGAAGTGGAAGTGCAAGGGTACGTAGATGCAGACTTCGGTGGTGAAATCGATCACCGAAGAAGCACCACCGACTATGTATTCACCGTCGGAACTACAGCTGTTAGTTGGATGTCACAGGTACAGAAGATCGTTACCCTATCCACTATAGAAGTTGAGTATGTTGCAGTGACTGAAGCCAGTAAAGAGATGATATGGCTTCAGGGTTTGTTAACAGAGCTAGGATTCAAACAGGAGAAGAATATTTTGCACAGTGATAGCCAGAGTGCGATACACTTGGCGAAGAATTCAGCATTTTATTCTAGAACGAAGCATATTACGCTTCGGTACCACTTCATCAGATCCCTATTGGAAGATGACGTGTTAAAACTGGAAAAGATTCCAGGAAGTAAGAATCCAGCAGACATGTTAACAAAGACGGTGACCGTTCAGAAACTGGAGTTGTGCGCAACTTCAGTTGGCCTTCATGCATAGATGATGAGAGCGGAGCCACACAGGAGAGGAGCCTGATGAGATAGCCTGTTGTCGTCGGTTTGGTCTCCAAGTGGGAGATTGTTAGTTTGGGGGTGGATACCAACCTCCGCCGGCGACGAAGCTCCGATGAGCTTGAGGATCCGCGCAGATGAGCGCGGGTGTCGACGGCGAACTCCAGGCTCAGTTCGAGATGGAGCTCGAGCAGGCGAGCTCGAATATGGCGTTTCCGATCCTCGCGTTTGGGATACCGACCCTCGCGTTTCAGCGCTCCGACGTCCGCATTTTGGCGCCCCACCCTCGCGTCCAAGCGGGCCGCTCGCGTGGCTG